GCTCGAGACCACTTATCCTCCTGGCTGCCATTTTCTGAACCTTTTCCAGCTCTACCATATTCATTTTGAGATGATCTGGTCCTCATGAAAAAAAATAAAATCAAAACTAGCCTGAAAGATCACCAGAATACCCACAGGAATTTCAGGCAGCTGCCAAGAAACAGAATGTACTCCTTGCATTAAAATTCTCCAAAACTCAATTCTGAAAGATGATTAAACATGGTTTGTAGCAACTGTAAAAGTAACATTAAACCCATTCCAAAACTAATCAAGCTTAAGAATGTGTTCATCTCCCCTACTGTTAATCAAAACATAAGCTGGATAAGTACACCAGGAAACATATCAATTACAGTTACAAGCCACAAAACAAATATTGTTTTAATATATGTTTTTAATTAAAAATGATTGACCAGATTCCTGCGTGAGCCATAGCTTTAGACCTCTGCCAGGGTCTCCAACATGCATTTCTAAGAAAGTAAGCAACCAGAGAAACAAATTAATACATGTCAATTTTTTAAAATAACCAAACCACTGAACTTTTTATATATCTGCCTTCTGAATTATAAACATATTCACCCTTTAAAAATCCATGAGCCCTCAAGGGTCAGAAAACACCCACCTCCTGGACCAATCTGAGCATCACTTGCAGAAACTGAATATCAACTGTACATGAAATGCTATAGGAATATAACCAATGTTTCCCTTCATATTATTGTCACTAAAACAGGGGTCCCCAAAGTGTGGTGGATGGACCACCAGTGGTCAGGTGATCTGCAGTCAGGTGATCTGCATATGTCAGGTCATCTGTGGTTTAGTGACTGAAGACAGGAGACGGCACATCCACCCCATTAAATAGTCACCCAGATTTTAATTGGATTTTTAATTGCTTCTTTTATTTCTTATCATAGTGTAGTCCAAATTCCATGGAATTCAACAAAACAAATGAAAGCAGCAATGAAAACTCAGTTAAAAAATGAAAAACATCTAGCATAGCACCTTACAATTGCTATAACAGGAAGAAAAATCATTAAATGGCCCCAATTCCTCAGCAATGGTCTGGCGGGTGAGGGGGTGGGAAGTTTAATAACCACTGCTTTATGACACATCCTAACAGGTTACCATGGAAATGTCCAGCAAACAAGTCGAAAGCAGTTAAGTTGATATTCAAAGCCATTGCCAGAAAGAGAGAGAGAGAAAGGAATCACATTTGTGTCTACTTTTAGACATAATCTCCTTACACACTATGAGCGATGCACAAGCAAGAGCCCCTACCTTTGGCTATTCAGCGCCATTTGCAATGAACATGGTAAAGCTGATTATACTGTTTTCAATTTCTTTGCCCGCCCCCCGCCCCCAGCCGATCAAAATAGGCTGCTGGAGACACTATGGTGGTTGAAAGGTTACATAAAATACAGACCCAGCCGCTTCCCATTCCTATAACTTTGCTTCAGGTTTTATAAAACCTGTGATAGCAATGGGATTGGTGAGGGCTGAATAAAAAAATAAGGAACGCTACAGTAAAAATATATAAATATTTGTAGGGCTTGAAATATTTTAAATATTCAATATTTTAAAATCAAGCCCCACCTCAGCTTCTCAAGCCATTTGTGCGTGCTTTTCTCAACAAAAGTTGTTAGGGGGAAAAGATCCTTGCACTCTTCAGAGGAGCAAGGCAGCTGCTTGAAATGTAAACGTCAAGCCTCGAAAAAGTAATCAAACCTACATCTACTATTTTTAAAAAATATGCCTTATGCAGAATGGCTTATCCCCAGCCTTGATTGTGATAGGCTGTTTTCAGCCCACTTTTCATAAAACAGGATGGTTCGCAATGTGCTTTCATGAAAAGGATGTGCAATCCTAATTAACATGCCACTGTGCGAATGACCTTTGTATCGTCAGCCCAACAAGCAGTACAAACCTCCAAATTCATGCTGTGAGCTATTCCACGGTTCTGATGTTTTATTCCATGGAACTGGTGCATATATGTTTCAGCAGACATGAGCAGAACAACATCTACGCACTGAATATTTGCTGTCTCTTTTAAAATACCCTTATGACTTTTTATTTCTAATACATACACACACACACACCCAAAAAAACCACCCATATACCTTCTTGCATTTTAAGACAAGCTGCCCGTAGTCTAAATCCCGCATGGAATCTAGCATTTAAAAAACATGACGACTTGATCCCATTTGAAAATGAACCAGAAAAGAAATGCAAAAGGTAGTGTTTGAAATAATAATGTAAGCCACAAATAGGAATATAAACCACAAGGCCATACCTGGTGACTGGTTAGAGACTGGAATGGCTCCCCGATCCCAAGATGCATGACCTTTCTATTCCCAGAAAGCATTCCCTGCCTTATAACAATGCATCACTCTCTCTCTCTCTATCTCTCAGGCATCTTCTGGGCCAGCAAGGAAAACATCAGGTTTCTCCATTTAGCAAATGATGAGCGAGCTCCTTTCAAAAGATCGGATCTCAAAGATAGTTCCCTTGCCCCCACCCCACCCCCCTGTGAGCAGTTCCAGTCATCTAGTAGCGAAAGAGGCTGGCACAGCTACATCAGCGATGCTGCTAATGTTTTCAGAAAACACTAAGCTTGCTGCTTAGAGCAATCCCGCATCATCGAAACAGAGCAAGCCACATCCTTCAGCTCTCCACTCACGTTACTATAAATCCTCGGGTTGCCATTATAGAGAACGATGATTTGGTTGTTGCTTAATCTCGAGGCAATTAAAGGTGAAAACAGCCATTATGCAACACACATTGCTTTGAAACAGAGCGACAGAGAGAGAGAGAGAGAGAGAGAGAGAGAGAGCCAGGCAAAATGACATATCCAGGTTATCTCAATTTGCTTGCATGACCACTTCTTAACATGCAACGCTGCCGTTCTGAGTGGAAAGCTCCACAGTATGAGGTGACGGGGAAATTACCAGAAAGAAATCATATGCAATTCAGAAGCAGGAGGACACTTAAGATCCTCTGGAATCATATCAAATGAACTGAAAACACCATTGAGATTAAAATATGCATCATATATCTCTGTGTGTGTGTGTGTGTGTGTGTGTGTGTGTGTGTGTGTGTGTCTGTGCTCATTTTCACAAAGCTGTATCCTCCTTGCATTTTGTGCACTGCTCCCTGGCAGCAACCCAGACATCAACATACCTTGAAAAGATGCCAGTATTATGACAGGGCAAATGTATTTGGGTACCAAACAGAGTGATCACATGCCTGTATTTCTGTTCTTGTAGCCCATTTCACTCCATCAGAAATTGTATTGCTCTCTTCTGAAGAGCTGTGAACAGTCCATTAACAAGACACAAGAGTAGCACGGTTATCTCTCACAATATTTTAGCAGAAATCACTCTGTGCCATTTTAAAGTGAATCAAATGCTCTGTTTGTTTGTTTTTAAAAGCTGATCCTCAATACCAATGCTATTGTTTTCAGTGGGTTTGCTCCCAATGGTTTTAAGAGGATCGCAGTAACCTGTTTTTGTTTTGTTTTTTCAGATTTGCAGGTGATCATATTATTTTCAGCAAATAATAATATTTTTAAGTGTAGTCGTATTAGAGCCATACTCCAATTCTGAAAAAGGCTCAGCTGTAGCTCAGCATGTGACATTGGCCATACAGACAAAAATAAGGACACTCTTGTGCATGAGAGGGTGGGACTGATGGTGTAATCTGGCAGCCCAACAGTGGTGAGGCCAACAAAATCCCGGCTCAAATGTGCAACAAGAAGAAAATGGATGCATGCATGCAGTTGGTTCCTAGTGGCAAAAGAATCAAGGTAAACCACAAACTGCATAGCATATAAAATACATGGAATGCATGTACATGCACTATACTACATTTATATCATTTAGAGACCATTCTGGTCCCATTTTACAGCTGGCAAACACTGAGGCACAGAAAAAGTGGCTAGCCCAAGATCAGCCAATGAATGAGTGATTTCCCCCCCACCCCAACCTTTACTGTGTTAGGAGGACAGAGATGGGTTACAGGAACACTCATCATCTGAACAAGCCACATACTTCATTTATCCAACATGGAAGAGCATTTGCCTTTGCTTAAATCCAAAGAGGTTCTTTGTGGGTGATATGAAATGATGAACATTGACAGGTACATTTGCTATTACACCTAATTAGAATGTCAGTTTTACAACCCACCACAAAAAAAGGAACGACCATAAAGCATTTATATTTTTCAAGTAAAACAAGAGAGATCCTATCTAGAGAATATGTCATCTATTCAAACAGGAGCTGAGAAGGGAACATTTTATTAGGGTCCAGACATAGAGGCGGGGGACATACCAGGCTATAACCCCATTCTACTGAGGCTACATTGCAAATCTTGCTGGAGACATGATGGAAGCTGTATTAATTCATCGATAATAGTTGTTACTTTGCAGCTGTTTTGCACTCACACTATTACTACTTACACAAACCAATACTGGCTCCAAGTTTGTTTTTGTGAGGAATTAAAACAAATGAATCCCTGTGGACCCACATTTGTGGGTGAACAACAAAATAATTGGCTGGGTACCAGGATTCAAAACAAGTGGCTTGCACACCGAGAGCCCCAGTAGCAGAGTATTAAACTCACAAAGATAAGCAGCGCAGTAAAGCATTAGGAATATAGGTTGTCAGACCTTTTCATCCCGTTCAGCTGCACACAGCAGCCGACCTGTTTCTACCCTTCCCACCATAAGCAGACCACACTCTTCAGTAAGTTTGAAATCCTTTACTTACAGATACAAGGTCTCGGTTCATGCATTGTTCCATGCAGCAGCAAGGACAAGACAGGCAAAATAATATTGGGTAGAAAATATAGCATATAATTCCAAACACTTACTGCAAGCCTGGGAGCAAGATCACGCACATAAGAGACTGCTTAGAATGGGTCAGACCATTGGTCCATCTAGTATAGTGCTGTCTTCAACAACTGGCAGCAGCACTCCAAGGTTTCAGACTGGGGCCATTCCTAGCCCTGTCTGGAGATGCCAGGGATTGAACCAGGGACCTTTCAGGTGCAAGGCGAATTGTCTACCAGTGAGCCAGGAGGCAGTCATAGAGCTCATCTTTTGCATGCAGAAGATCTCAAGTTCCATACCTGGTATCTCCGGGCAAAACTTGGGAAAGACTCTAGTCTGGAGAGCTACTGCCAATTGGTTTCAACAATACTAAGTTAGATGGACCCATGAGCAAAGCAGGGAAATAGGCGGCAGCCTTACACCATGTGTCAGTACAATCACGGCACCAGACTTAAAGCAGCTGCTTTAATACTAGAGAGCAGTGACTAAGAACCTGCTTGAACATATGCTTTGCCCCTCTAGAGAATGAGAAGTCAGTCGGCCTGGTTTTAAATTTAGTTGATATTTCACCTAACCTACTTCAACACAAAATGTTCTTATGAAATATGCCGCATTTTTTAAAGAAGAAGAAGAAGAAGAGGAAATTATGATACGGGGATCAAGAATACCACGCATCTATTGATCAGCTACAAAAAAAAAAACACTGAGTAGAGAGAAAACAGCATTACAGTGGTACCTCGGGTTACATACACTTCAGGTTACAGACTTCGCCAACCCAGAAATAGTGCTTCAGGTTAAGAACTTTGCTTCAGGATGAGAACAGAAATCGTGCTCCGGCGGCACGGCAGCAGCAGGAGGCCCCATTAGCTAAAGTGGTGCTTCAGGCTAAGAACAGTTTCAGGTTAAGAATAGACCTCCAGAACGAATTAAGTACTTAACCCGAGGTACCACTGTATATAACAGCTTGCACAAAAATTCACAGTACTCTGATAGGTGTCTTCTGCAGTTTTTGTGTTTTTGTCTATACATGAGCTTGTGTGCATTACAGAGCCATCACTGGATAAGGTATGACTTTTCTCATGCAGCAGTCTAGCCCCCTCCTGTGACCTAATGTCCAGCAGATTTTTTGGGGATTACAACTCCCATCAGTCTCATGGCAGTGCTAACTGCAGCAGATGGAGAGTTGTAGTCCAAAACATCTGCACACCACCAGGTTGATGGGGATGCTCTTCTAGTGCTAAAACAGACACACCATGGGCCAGGAGACTCCCTTCCACACAGAACTCCTGTGCCACTGCAGGTAGCTGGAGCTCGACAAACCTGAGAGTTGAGATCCTACATGACCCACAGACTGTGCAATCAGCACCCATGTTGATGTACCACCAAGCAAAGCAGAATAACGCTACCAGTTACTGCAAGGCCATTAGACTGTATGAGATCTCAACTCTGGGATTGCTAGGTTAAAAATCTGAGGAGCATGCATACAGCTTGACATCTGCCCCACCTCCTGCAATTTCAGGAGCTTAATAAGGTACATGTATGCAGGGCTGATGCCAAATTCGAGTTGAACCTCACCAACGTGCCCTCTGGTAGACCTCCTCCTAGTTGGGTTAACCCTGGTATGGTTACTTGGTGACAGTGATGGTAGCAGTGCTTGGAGTCCTAGCCCCAACTGTCTAATGATGGTTGAAGAACATCCACAGTGCCATGCTCAGCTCCCAGTAATTCATGACATGCACCTGACTGATGCTGATCAAAGAGCTAGCCTTTCAATTTCCCAGAATGCCCATCAAAGTCATTGTGGGGAATTAAACTAGAGGCTCCAGATCCAGCCACCTTAAAAAGAGTCCAGAGCAAGCAGCTGTAATGGACCTTGCTGGGACCTTGACAGCTTCCCAAGGTACTCTGTGCCGATGCTGGGCCTGCAGGCACGTTCTCTGGCTATCAACCTGGCCACCATGTTCAGTTCCCAGGTATACATGTGGTTCGTCAAAGGCTCCTTACACTGGCCCATCTGGATGATTATACAGTGGTACCTCGCAAGACGAATGCCTCGCAAGACGGAAAACTCGCAAAACGAAAGGGTTTTTTGTTTTTTGAGCTGCTTCGCAAGACGATTTTCCCTATGGGCTTGCTTCGCAAGACGGAAACGTCTTGCAAGTTTGTTTCCTTTTTCTTAACATCCGTTAATACAGTTGCAACTTGACTTCGAGGACTTGACTTCGAGGAGCAACTCATAGAACGCGGTGTGGTAGCCTTTTTTGAGGTTTTTAAAGACTTTGGTGATTTTTGAAGCTTTTCCAAAACTTTCCCGACACCGTGCTTCGCACGACGGAAAAAATCGCAAGACGACAAAACTCACAGAACGAATTAATTTCATCTTGCGAGGCACCACTGTACTGGTGCCACACAATGGGATTGAGCACTGCACCATCACCAATATACAGGGCATAACAGGTCACGTGGTATAGTGGTTGGAGCGTTCCAACTAGAACCTGGGAGAGCAGGATTCTAAACCACACTGAGTCATGAAGCTCACTGAGTGAGCTTGAGCCATTCACCACCTCTCAGCCTAGGCTACATTCACAGGGTTGATGTGAGAACATATACTGGAGAGGGAGAGAACTATGTAAGCCATCTTGAAGGAAAGGTGGCATATAAAAATAAAATAATAATAACATTCCTCAACATGCCAAACATTCATCTGTTGTTCTGGCCTTTCACATTATCTGCTACGATAGTTTTAGAAATGATTTAGATGCTTTCACCTTCCCTTGATTTACAGTCCATCATGAGGCAGAGCATAGAAAAGGCACCCAGCCATGAAGCTTGTGAAACTCTGAGCCAGTTTTAATGAATCCCACATCCAAAATGTGCAATTAGTAAATAAAACACCACTGTGTGCCAGTTTGCGAGCTTTTTTTAAAAAAAAGAATATATGTTTATGATGTTGGTGTTTGCAAGGGAGTTATTTAACATTTTCATAATTACACGATGGCATAATTCAGCATTCAGTGATATCAGTATATAGCCCATGAATGAAAACTGTCAAAGCCTGTTTTCTTCAACAAGATCAATGACAGCATCAAAAGGGGAATGGCACACAGGAAAGGGAACAGCACCAGGAATGCTTCCACCAGACAAGCTCTGGCCTGTGGATGTAGCGTTGCTGCCTTGGACTTGGAAGACTACATCACAAGAGATCCCAGTGGGCCAGAATCTTTCCACTAGAGTAGAAGACTACTGGACCAAGCTGGGCCCCTCTAACCTCAGTGTGGGTGAATTGGAATATAGCTGCTGCAACTATATAGGGTTCAGTATCTGTCTGGTTGTTGTTGAAGCAACATTGTTCTTTCCCAATAACAACCACTGCCCCTGCCCAGTAACCCAAGGATAGGAAAGGCTAACCATAGAGGTTAGCAGCCTTTCTCAACCTTGGGTGCATAGCTGTCAACGTTTCCCTTTTTTTTTGAGGGAAATTCCCTTATTCCGAATAAGATTCCTCGCAAGAAAAGGGAAAAGTTGACAGCTATGCTTGGGTGCCCAGGTGTTGTTGGACTTCAACTCCCATCATTCCTAGCTAGCAGGGTCAGGGATGATGGGCATTCAAGAACATCTGGGGACCCAAGATTGAGAAAGGCTGTGTTTGGAGTGTTAGACTGGGAAAGTCTAGGTCCACATCTCCATTCAGCCACAAGCTCACTGGCTGACATCAGGTCAATTTGTTTCTTTCTGTCTGTCTCTGTCTCTCTTTCCGCTGAAGCTATCTCACAGGGTTCTTGCAAGTATAAAGAACCATGCATATTGCCCAGATCTCCTTGGAAGGAGGGAGAGACAAAAATGTACTAGATAAAATAAACGCTCAAAACATAGCATGGTCTGCTGTATCAAAGTAAACATGATGTCAACTTAAAGAAACAAGCAGCATATTTGTTACTTGGAAACTGCCACAGTTTTAGAATCTGTGCCCCAAATATCTTGGGGGCTGCCAGTAAATCAGGGCATGCAATCATTACAGTTGCTAAGCCACTGCAAAAATACGAAGTGAATGCTTTGTCCCCTTAAGATGATTTTGCATGGGATATAACCATGCAAAATCTTATTAACTTTTATCAGAAAGAATATTCTGTCGAGTTACTATCTAAGGCCACATCCTCACTGTACATTTAAAGCACTATCATGGCACTTTAACTGTCATGGCTTCCTTTAAGGTATCCTGGAAATGGAGTTTGGTAAGGGGGGAGTGAGAATTGTTAGGAGACCCCTGTATCTCTCACTTAGCTAGTATGTTCAGAGTGGTTTAACAGTCAAGCCCTCCTCCCAAGGAACTCTGGAATCATAGCTCTGTGAGGGGAATAAGGGTCTTCACAACCACACAGCCATCCATTTATGAAGAAGAGCTGCAAAGTAAACCATGAATCCATTCTTTCTTCTGCCTAACAATTCTAGAATGTGCTTCGTACTAGTGTGGTGCAGTGGTTACGAGCGTCAGGCCAGGACTTGAGAGGCCAGAGTTCAAAAACCTACTCAGCCATGAAGCTCACTGGGAGACTTTAGTCCAGTTACCACCTCTCAACCTACCTCACAGAGTTGTTGTGAGAATAAAATGGGGAGAGGGCAACTGTGTATGCCACCTGCAATTTCTTGGAGGAAAGGTGGGATATAAATGTAATTCTAAATAAATGAATAAATGCAACGCACTTTCAATCACAGAGGTAGAATCTTCTTAGGAAGCAAAGACCATGTGACAGAGTGAGGAGGATGCTTCCAGTGATACAGCTGAGGCCTCATTAAAGGTGGCAGAGTTGGACACAGATCTGACCTGTGAGGTCAGATTCACCTTGGAAGTTCTTCCATTTGAGCCCCACTGAAATGAACAGCCATTGCACAACAGGATGGTTGTGCTTTTGCGCAGCTGTCCATTTCAACGAGGCTTCAACTTTCCCCGTGGTCACTCATGGGATTTTAAATCTGTTTTGCCTAGCTCTGGAAACAAAAATGGCATTATTTGGCTTGCTCTCTTCCTGAGGACAGAGGTGTCATGTACTTTGCTGAATTACTGTTATCAGAACCTCAGGGGGATAAACATAAGGAGGACGCAAATGTTCCCTTGATTTTGATTGATTTCTTCCACTCTGAAACACTGGATGAATCTCAAGGGGGAAAGAGATGCAAGGAAGTGACTCCCCCAGTTAAGTAATGTTCACCTGGTCACCTTAGGCAGGCAACAGGCTGCTTTAATTTCCATGCTA